GGGACCTTCAATACACCTCTATAGTACCACATCGCGAAAGCTTCTACTATTTTCTCGGTTAAAGCTCACAACAATGCTACTTTCTCACAACAGATATTCAACGATCTGTGTTATAATAATAATAATAATAATAATAATAATAAATGGGCTTTATTTCGTAGCTAAGTAAAAGTACAAAAAGGCGTGTCGCTAAGATTAGCGTGTTTCAACTTAACCTTAACCTTAACAAAAAAAAAAATATATATATATATAATAAAACATTCCACCAACAAAAATGTATCCATAATTCTCAATAATTGCTAAATAATTAACAACACAGAACAATTACAAGAATAGTCCATATTTCTAGCATTTTGTCCTCATCATCAGACCTCGACTTGTAGTTTTAGTTTAAGCCTCTTTTTAAAATTAAATAACGTATAGTTTTGGAATGTAACAGGCAGATCATTATATAATTTAATAGCATTGTAGCTGAATGATGTTTTGTAGACAGCCTTAGAATGTAAGGATATCACTAGCATATTCCTATTCCTTGTATTCAGTTGATTTATGTCACTACATCGTGTTAACTTATTATGCAAATATTGTGGTTGTTTGGTAGCTAAGACCTTATGTGTGAGTGTCAGTAAGTGAAGCTTTTACATGCCTTTAATCTGCAGAATACCAAGTTCCTTAAATTTATGAGACATATGATCAAACTTTCGTATTCCGCAAGAAAATCTGATGCACGAATTCTGAATACGCTGGAACTTGCTTTGTTCTCTATATGATAGAGCTGCGCCATAATATACTGTCACAATAACTGATCTTTGATATAATTAATGTTTCACACAGTTTTAGCTTTACTGAAGTAGATATTATTTGCCTATGTGGATAAAACTGTTTCAAAATGCAGTATGATGCACTACATAACGAATTTACGTGTTTTTTGTATTTTAGTTCTGTGTCAATCCAGAGTCCCAGGTTTTTACACTCATTCATTATAGGAAGCCGGCAATCATAGATTTTAAGGTTAATTTTCGTTTCGATCAATGTTCTTTTGTTTTTTGAGCCGAAAACCATAACTGAAGGTTTAGATGGATTAATTTTTAGGTTATGCGAGCACGAGATGTCTACTAGCCTTGTTAAGTCTTCGTTGAGCAATGATTCTGCAATTTTAAAATCTTTGTGTTGGAAATAATATCTGATATTTCTAGTAATTTCAGTAAGTGCCTAAGAAGTAATAAAAAAGCTCCCATTTCTTTAATGGACCGCCGTTATATCCCGAGGTGGCGGCGACAGGTGCCATGCAGGGTTGCCAGATGGACCGAATAAAATCTATCACAATCATGTACAAATTGTATTCACACAATCTTCGCGCTCTTATATTATCTTAGGCCCGGTTTTTCAATCGCTGCTTAACTTTCAAGTTTGGTAGCTGTGTTATAACTTGTAAGCTAGGTAACTATAAGTTGTCCGTAAATTCGTTTTTCAATCTCTGGTTAACCAACACGTTACGGTTGATCTGGCAACGCTGCCTCTACGTCTGAAATATCGTGTTCTGTGGATTTTGTAGCTCTCGGTGTTTGTGTGCCGTGTCATCCGCGAGAACTCATGTCACTGTTAAGCAAAAAATGCTAGAAATTACGGGGCACCTGCAACTTCCTAGTTAACTAGTAGATGGTATTTTGGTTAAAGTTTACTATCGTTTTAGCACAAATCTGACGTTGAAAAATATATTTTAAGAGTTAGCCGTAAAATGACAGATAACTTGCAATTGAAAAACCAGCAGGGTTATTATGTAAAGTAATGTCAAAAAAGCCTATAAAATGTCAACTTGATGACTAAGTAGGCTAGTGTGCAACTAGTTCATTCCGCGCTTGCCACAAGTGAAAATAAAATAAACTACATCTAGATCTAAGTTGAAAGTCTTGTAGAAAAACCTACCCAAAAGTGACATAGCGTGGCTAGTTTCAAATGGTTAAAAATGAAATCTTGAAACGATGCGTTAGCAGCGTTGCCATATTCGGTGGTTTTTCCCCAGTTTGGGGAAGGATGTTTGTACCTGTAATTTTTTTTTGTATTTTTTAGGTATTTGATTTATTTTTTCACCACGTGAATCTAGCTACTGCTAACAATTTCGCTCTATTTAATTACCCGACGACAAAATATACAAAGAACGGCTCTGGATCGCGCTAGTATTGATCAGTGCAGGATAGTAAGGCAATATAAGGTCGCTACGATTGTCTAAATACTAATTGAGTATGATGTAATATATGCTTTGATTCTATTAGACCCATATGGCAACAATGTACGCCTTGAAATATAACGGCGGCGTTAAACATGACACCAATCTTCCAGGGAAAGATCGCTCCTCAACCTCCCTCGTAAATATTTTTACTAACAAAACTTTGTTCAGCAACAGTGAGATACTGTTATTTTTAATAAAATACTCAGTAAAGTTATCATGTCAATCTTTTGTATGATGTTTGATACATTTTCGAGTAGGCCACAAATCCTTTTTGACTGATGGAATCTGCATCAACTTTTGTGTGTGGACACAAATGAAAAATATTGTAGCGTTTTTCCGGGTTCTTTTGGGTGTGGATTAAAACAATGGATTCCACAAAAATAAATGCACTAATTTATTTAACTTGATAGAACATTTATGTACACCACTATTTATGTCTGACTAATTCTTATGTCGCGCCTTTGACTGAACTCTACTCCACTCTGCTCTACTCTACTTTACTCTGCTTCCCTCTCCCGGCCGTCGAGTTATATAGTCCGCATCGTTGGCTCGAGAAGATACTGGCGAGCCACAAAGCGGCAATCTAAACTCTTCGAGGTCACTTCGCGACGATCAAGAAGGCGAGTCACCAACAGAGATCAGCCATGAAGCAGCTGGCGAGTAGAGTCTGGCGCGGTCCCCACAGGTTGCACCAACGGTACTATTTATTCCTGTTACAGTATTGAAAAGTATTTCTTAATTCTAAATTCATTAGTTCCATTACTTCTTATTGGTCCGATTTCTGCAAAGGCACAAAGTTGGATTGTCGCTGTTGATTACGAGTAGTACTATCGTTCCTGAAAAACTCAAAGGTATAGATGTTTTAGTTATTTAGATGCCTTCCCCGTCAAGCAAGTCCTATATAATTTAACAAAGAAATCATAGCTGACACAGATAAATAACAAGTTAAAGGTAGATAACTATTGTCAGCTCTGACTGCTGACATTACACCATTGTTAGTCAAACTGCAAAACTCAACTTTCCTGATATCGCGAGCCAAGCCTTATGTACTTGAGAGAGAGTTTTATTCCTTTTGTGGGTCTCAGATTTGTCGGGGTGGGTCAAGTATGTCCTCCTGTCTCCCTCCATCTCCAGACCTGAGCGGCTTGTAGCTCCACTAATATTAAATAATGGCATAGTAAAGCAATGAATACGCCTCGCAGTGTCGCGCCGACCTTATATACTCTCCTTATATGTCCTTATTAACATATATATTAAGTTCCACTATAACTTCATAATATAGAATTAGTGTTGTGCCTTAACGAGCCTTGTAAGAGACTGCGCCGTACCGAAATTTTGACGGAGATGGCAGTTCAAACAACATGCAGATTTTGATCTAGATTTTTAACCTGATTGGACATGGAACATAGAACGAGTTTTTGCTCAAGGTTTTTTTACTTTCAGGTTTTTTCTTGTGGTTTGTTACTGCATCTCCAAAGCGCAAACGTTTTGCGTTGCCATCTCAAGGCCGAACCGTTGTGTCTTATATTATTTCCTCACAAGACAACGGACATGGTGCCCTTAAGGTGTCAAGGTACTATTTGTAGCATTTCGGAATCATGAACAATGCAGATGCAACTTAAGGAATGGAAGAGTGGATGACAGTCAATCGGAATGTTCTGAGTGGGTTGTACCGATCTCGTAAGAATTTAGACCATTGATTCCCAAAGTGGTCTATATCGACCCCTAGGGTTCTATGACAACCTGCAAGGGGTCTACGTCAGCGAAAAAAAATTTGAGGGTCCATGAAATGAATATGGGGGTCCACGACAGTGGATCTCAACACATACACTGATAGTACCTATTTACTTACATCATACAATCTTATAATATCAAAACATATACATTATTTAAAAAAGTACCTATGAAGTAAAAAATTTATTATATATGTTTATAAAATTGTGTAAGTTGTAGGATGTTGGTATTCGCTTTGTGGTCGCAATACATTTTGAACTTGTAAAAACCTGAGAGTCGCAGTCTCAGAGCTTCGCTACCTTGCACTGACTTGTTCAATTCGTCATTCTATAAATACGAATGTGGGACAAATACGTTTATTCGTTTCCTGAATCTTGAAAAGGTAAGTGCTAGGAAAATATTTTAAAAAATATAAACAGATAGTATATCACACAAATTATAGTGAGTCAGTGTTATTTTGTTTGAGAGTGCTGGAGAAAAGCAAGTACATTATTTTTTATTAAATTTTAGTTTTGTACTCGTAGTTAGCAAAGATAGATAAATTACGCCAATCATGACTTTAGTTATTAGTAGTTAAATATTCAATCATGCAAAATTACACGAGTACTCCTCAATAGTTTCTTTTTAAAAGTTTTAGCAATCGGTAATATAATTACAGTGCAATCTCCGTAATTCGAGCTAATTCTTGCAAGAAGATGTTCAAATTATGGAATGTTTTCGGAAAAATCAAAAAATATTTTTAATATACAGCTGCTGGATTTTCTGTCTTATTTAAATAATTTAATTTTACCCACAGATGACTGATGCCATGTCCGAATCTAAAAATAAATGTAGACAGTACAGTGTTGATTATTTGAAATTTGGCTTCATTCCATCATTGCCGGACAAACAATCGCCTATGTGCCTTTTATGCAACAAAGTTTTGGGCAATGATGCTATGAAACCATCTAAACTGCTAGATCATCTGAGAAGATGCCACCCTGATAAAACAGAGAAAGATTTGAAATACTTTCAAACACTCAAAGATAAATTTTAGAAGAGACCTACACTGGACAGAATGTTCGCTTCGACGTCACAAAGAAATGATGATGGTTTGCGGGCGTCTTACAATATCTCGTTACTTATAGCAAAATCCGGAAAACCGCATACTATCGGAGAGAAGTTAATTTTGCCAGCCGTTGAAGAGGTTTTAAAAATTGTTTTACACAAACCTGCATCTGATATCATTAAAAGAATTCCCTTAACCAACAATACTGTTGAAAGACGTATTGATGAAATGAGTTCTGATATTCAAAGCTTCTTATGTAATTATTTGCAAACGACCCATTTCTCTATACAACTGGACGAGTCAACTTTACCTGATAATGCAGCATTATTATTGGAATATGTTCGTTTTATTATGAATCAAGAAATCTACGAAGAACTGCTCTTTGCAAGAACTTTGGTAACCGACACTAAATGTGAATTAATATTTCATGTTTTGAATGATTACTTCATTGAAAAAGCAATTCCTTTATCAAATATAATATCAGTAGCTACAGATGGAGCACCTGCCATGGTTGGACGTTATCGTGGATTTATAAGCTATTTAAAACAAAATGTGTCAGGGGTATTAGCAATACATTGCGTCATCCATCGACAACATTTAGTTGCTAAAAATTTGAGTGTTAGATTGCATGAATCATTTAATTTAGTCATTGATGCAGTAAACCGAATCCGAAGCAACGCGTTGAATACGCGGTTATTTGCGCAGTTGTGTGAAGAAAATGACGAACACTTTTATCAATTACTCCTTCACACTGAAGTACGCTGGCTGTCGAAAGGCTTATGTTTGACAAGATTTTTTGCACTTTTTGAGACTATTTTAGAATTTCTGGATACTAAAGATAAAATTTCAAAAGAAAATTTAATGAAGAGGAAAACAGACATCGCCTATTTAACAGATTTGTTTACAAAATTTAATATGGTTAATTTGCAATTACAAGGCGACAGTTTAAATTTGATTAAAACAAAGTCCATCTTATCAGCGTTTCTTGCCAGAGTTAAACTAATGAAGCAAAATATTGGACGGGGCGAATGTTCTCAGTTCCCCAATTTGTCACAGACAAGCTGCCAGGAAGACGACGTTTCCACTTACGTTCAACATTTAAATGCCCTCTATTCAGATTTTGAATCTAGGTTTGAGGATATTTTCACTATGGTAATACCACCGTGGATAATTAATCCATATGGTGACACAGAAGAAACGAATGTCATAATACAAGAGGAACCGAAGTACAAACGAAGAACTTAAGGTTCAGTTTAAAAACGGATATCAGCAATTCTGGCTGCAAAACAACATACCCGTTACTTATCCCGTATTATGGAATATAGCAAGGAAATTTTTAATTTCCTTTCCATCGTCATACCTAGTGGAAAGGGGGTTCAGCGCTGTTACCAATCTACTAACGAAAAAAAGAAACAGACTGGACATCATTAGCCGATGAGATTTAAGATTAACCCTTACAAAATTGACGCTAAATGTTGATAATTTATTATTAAAGCATCAGGTTCATCATTCTCACTAAAAATATTGACTTATTGCTTATGTTATTTTATTTATAATTTATTTTATGTTTATTGGTGTCTGACCAATAAATGCCTGCATTGGGAATAAGTGCCCGCATTGATTTTTTTAAAGAACCCCCTTTATAGAAAATATTTTTTTTTTAAAATTATTCTGAAAATTCAAGGATAGGTACACACTAAAATTCGTTAATTTATTGCCCATTTTTAGATAACTAAAACGTATAAGAAGCAGAATTTAATCAAACTAACAGTGAAATTATAGTAGAACATACGTTTATGTTATAATTAATAAACTAACTCGCTTATTGTACTATTTTAAGAAAAAAACTTATTTTTTTATTTATTTTCACTTTTTTCTATTTTATCCCTCTTATTTTTTTTTCAATGCGGGTACTTATTCCCAACGCGGGCACTTATTGATCAGACGCCTGTTTATTTAATGTTGCGTATATTTTACATAACAGATACAAAATTTTATTTTGAGTAGTTTTAATTTATAATTCAATTAATAAATGTATGAATTAACATGTGGTTTTACTTTAAGTTTTTAACACTAAACTTCACTACAGTTAGAAATTTACAGGAAATCAATATCAGGTAAATAGGGGGTCTACCCAACACGGAAAAACATGGCGAGGGGTCTACGACACAAAAAAGTTTGGGAAACTCTGATTTAGACGTTTCCGAGACGATGAGATCAGGTGACATATCTGATACATTCAAAACAAGAGATAATCCCATGCTCGCTTGCCGCTTTTGGAGGAGCTGAACGTCTTTTAGGAGCGGTCCTGAACTTAGCTGATTTTACTCGGTGCCGTCTCAAAATTGTAATGATGACTTTGGACGATCTTGCATTTGAAACGGCATTATCACAAAATGGCCTAGAGACTGAATGGGCACCCAGTTCCCATTTTTGTGCAAGATGCTAAACGGGATATTTTTCACACCGATGCAGCCGCATAGGCAGAAGCCTAGAAGCCAGGGCACCGCGGGTAATATAAGGATCTTGAAGAAACTGCTTTCGGGGATGTACCTAAGAGGAGGAGGGTTATATTGTTCCAGAGGCGATCCTAACTGGGATCTCGTTATTCAGCTAAGGGGCTATAAACTGGGTTCCTGTTGAGCAGAAAAATTTGGTCATTATTTAATACTGCGGGGTGGAACCGTATTAGCTGAAACGTGAAGGTCACCTATAAAATTGTCTCAGACTTGAAGAGCGGACTCGCAAGTCAAGTTCTTGGAATCATCACTTAAACTGATACATTACTTAGGGCCAAGTTCACCAACAACAGTTCATTATTCTCCAATCAACAAATTTTAGCAACCAATAGCTATGAAATGTTGAAAACAAAATACTGTCAAACTATGAGATGACAGCTTGTCATTGAAACATCACCAGCTTATTGAATATTAAGAAATTGCATATAATTCAGTCAAAATTTAAAGAAATGTTGGATTTTTGAATAAAATTCATGTTTTAATTACTATTGTTGATTTTTTGTTCATGTTTCTATTATTTTCTTCAATTGATATGCGATACTGGGTGTTTATTCATATGAACCTCTTGCAGATAGCCATTAAGCACCTACTTGATGACAGGCTCTACCAACAGATATTGCTTGTTTCCAAACATTCATTCATTTACTTGCCGTTCATCAGAACCATTATGGCACCTTAGATTGGTATTCCCACAAAACCATTCAGGTTTTTTGATATCCATACATCCATAAAGTTCAATATTTTTCGTTATTCAGGAACTGAACAAACATCCACACTATATTCACAGCGATTAAGAAATTCCCAAATATATGCCTTAAAGCTACCAGCAAACCTAAAACCTGCAAAGAAACTACAAATTTGCCATATTTTTCTTTTTTCACGAGTTCACATTCTAGGTTATATTTATATTAGACATTATTTGAATACAGCTGATTATTGTATTTCAAGGAGTGACACATGTGTGGGATCTGTCAACTCTTGGTACCAGTCACAAAACATATACTCTAAAGGTTTAATTCCATGCTATTCAATGACAACACGGTGACTTGTGTGGTTGTCAGCGGCCATTTTGTGAGGGTACGACAGGGTTGCCAGATTGTGCATTAATATCCCGTTTCACCCTCCTGGTGCCAGTGGAGTAAGTCAGACACGTCTTACACATATTATCTGTGTTTTAGGATGGAGAAGACATAATGTTTTTATTGCTTTGAAGAAATTCATTAACCCATAAATTAATAAATGATTACTATTATGACGTAAAGGAAGATGAGGAATTGGATGGAATGTACATATTTTATATTCTATTTTCTTGCAAAATACAGACAAATCCACACTATTCAACAGCTATGTAATGATAACTTTCAGTATATTGAAGTTGGTAAATTCGAGAGTGCCATGCATTAACAAACGTCCAAATCTGCTGCCGCATTTAACAGCTAGAATATCGACCTATTATTTGCCGCATTCCCATTCGCTGAGGGGGATAACGGATTGCTAAATGTAAACCTATAACATATATCAAAATACATGAAAGTTGTCCTGTTTTTTCTGTACAAAAGCATCATGTTGGAATCAAAAAGTGGTCTTGTTTATAATACAGTCGAATTTTCACGATTTTATTCAATATTTCAATAGAAATCACTAATATTCAGAGACCTTTGACAGCTTCTGTCAAATTTCATTTCGATAAGGTATTTTCCCATTGGTCCATAATATTAATGTTGGTGAAATTGGGCCTTAGAGTAGAGAAAACACCTATGTCATATGAATTGTTATGCAAATATTGTCTGTTATTGAATTTAAAGGGTGAACGTGATTCTGAGTTTCCTTTATTATCAATCAATACCCTGGATAAACGAATTAAGTCCAGAGACATATCCAGTGATGATCTCCCTGATCCATATCCATATTGCTCCGGTCAATAAACAGAGCTTAATTGAGAAAATACCTCACTGGGTGAAGTAGAATCTGATAATGCTGACGAGAATCATTGTTATTGCATCCGAAATTAAGAAAAATGAACCAGGAAACAATTTCATTCAACTCAAAATCACTTAACGACCTAATTAAACAAAGTTTGCAAGTGAAAAGTAAACAAACACCGGCGCAGCTCGGAGAAAGCGAAAGTGCTGTTTAAAAATCAGGCTGTGGATACGGACACGATGATTCGAAGTCGTTAGATTGAGTTTAAACATACGAAAGTTCGGTACAATGAAGCAAGAACTTTCTAAGTTCGGATTGAACAGACAGCGGCAGGAACTGAAGAAAGGTAGATAACGTGTAAAGATAGGAGAGTAGATCTAATTATGCAAATATTTTGCAAGTGGTAAGTGAACAGGTAGCACCATAGTTCGGGGAAAATGAAAGTTGAACTTAAAAATCAGTGCCGTGGATAGGGGTACGGTGAATCGAAAAATCGTTGGTTGGCTCATAACTCTACGAAAATGGGACTATTAACCAAAAATTTGTGAGTGAAAGGTAAAAAGGCAGCAGCCCAGTTGGGAAAAAATGAAAATGGAATTTAAAGATCAGACAATATATCGGGGTATGACGAATCGCAATTATTAGGTTGAACATGAACGTATGAAAGTAAGACCAAATTACGCAAAAGCTTGCTAGTAAAGTAAACAGAGCGAAAGTGGAAATAGATACGGGCATGCCTATTAGATATCATGAGATAGATCTTAAAGATACGAAAGGATATATGTACAGACACAACAAATTTCAGAAGCTTTTATTCTATACAGGGTGACTTCGAAGTTGAGCCATTTATTTTAACAGTGAATAGATCTGATCAAAAGAAATGTTTTTTTCCTTTAACATTTTTGTGGTAAAATTAAAGTAACAAAGTTATAGCCCTTTAGAAGTTTGAGTACCGCCCTGTCTCAATAATAATATTATGTGCTCGTGTTTGGCGACAACGGATATACTCCGCCTTATCGGTTCATCGCATCGGAAACAAAAAAGCGAAAGAATTTGAAACGCTGATCACGATGTTTTTATCAGTCTGTGTGAGTCGGTAACGCGTGAGTGAATAGTGGTATTTGCTGCGTGGTTCAAACGAAATGAAAAATGGTTCATATTTATGCGGATCGGTTTCCCAATCGAGTGCAACCAACCCCTCGTGCCTTTGTTAATGTAGTACAACGGGCTCGTGAATCAGGTGACTTAAGACCTCACAGGGAACTGCATGCCGGTGCTCCAAGACCTCACGATCAAATACAGGTCCGCACTGAAATACTTGTCGGGAGGATACTTTATAAAACAAGGTAAACAAAATTTTTTTATTTTTTTTATTTTTACACACATATTTTGGTTTATCTTCCTTCTACAATCATTATCTGAAAATTAATGACTCAACTTCAAAGTCACCCTGTATAGAACTAGAGCATTACTAAGAAGTGGAGTCAAGTAGATCTACGCTCTCCGTAATCGGTGTATAACCGTTTGAACATCATATTTTTCCTTTAGTTTTTCATGTGTAGACGTAACTAGAAGTTTGAGATTTACAAAATAACATTTGGATTGAGAGATGCGTAAAGTCGCTGGAAACGCGTACTTATTTATCATGTTGCTTGCAAAGATTTAGCCTAAATGCCACAGTACCGTTGTTACTGTAGAGGAATAACGAGATTAGTTGATATGCATTTTGAATTAGCAAAGGTTAGTAGACGAAGACGATGCCGCTGGTTTGCACCACCACATCTTCAATAGTTTGAGATGGAT